ATTTGCCTGCCATCTTAAAAAACGACATTTTCAACAAAAAAATTAATCCATTATTTCTAACGATATTTATTTTTTTTAAAGTTTCGAATACTTTACTATGCGTAAAAACAGCGTTTTTCAAGATGGCTGACGTTTGTAGAAATCGCGCCAACGTAAATCGCCAAAAATCCGTGCAACCGTCTACCAAAGTAGCACCAAGAAGAGTTGTGAGAAACCCTTGGATCCACACCCGTGGAAAATTCTGCCCCAAAATTGGTAGAGAGCTCAACGAAGTCGTACTCTTACTAAGACCCTCAAGGTCCAGACCAGCGACAGATGCAATCCTGTGTCCCTCGTCGCAATAAAATTCATGGGTTTGTCTTGGTGTTAACTGTCAGACAAATGAGCTAAGTCATAACAACAGTATCAAACAAGAAATGTGACCTCATTAATATCTGCGTGTCGCCAACAATCGTCAAAATCAACTTCACGCTCCAAACGGAAAATAAAGCGGTTAGCTTTCTGCTTTTTGCAGACCATAAAACTTCTGATTAAAAAACACATATGAAGCATAAAATTGAAATCGATAAGCGTACATTTATATGGTACTTAAATTAAAAAGTATCTGTTAATATATTCTATTATCATTATAATAATTGTTATTGAAAATCGAAACTTACCTATTAGACCAACCAACTTGTGCAATTTGGCGTTTTTAATATGAAAAAGCAATGATGTATTACAAAAAGTTATTAGTTATAAACATACATATTTTATGTTTTATTAAGTATTTATTCTGAAAAATCAATCAATAAACCTACTTTAAAAGCGAGTAAAAGTTTTGTTTCTTTTGTTCTGAGGAAAATTTCGTGACAGTCGCTTTTAAGAATAGAATCAAAGCATTTGCTTTTGAGTGGCTTTGGTCAAAATATTGAATTCTTGCAGAAATGTTATCACCATTTCTTCTACTGAAGCTTAAATCAACAAGCTCTATTTTAAAACACAACTCAAAATAATAAAAATATCGCATTTTTTTCATAAAAGTGTTGGAACTTGAAATACTAGAAAAAGAGCGCATACAAAAATAGCGACACTTCTTGATAGAAATTGAGAATTGTTACACGCTGAATTGAAGAATTTTTATACGCTTCTTTGCCAGAATTTGACGCATTTCGAAATTTGGTAACTTCTGCTAAAATGGCTGCGTTAATACCATAAGTACCTAAGACTCTAAACCACTCTGGTAGGAGTTCAGTTACGGGTATAATGATAAAAAGAATATGGGAATCACGGTCTCTTATTTCCCAAATAAGGGGGCTATTGCAAAAATTGGGAGTTTACAAATTTGGTAACTAAGTTTTGTAGCTTTGGGAACAAGATACAGTGGCCCCTTTATTAAGGTAGTACCCACGTCTTCATCCGACAATTATCAAGGAAGTACTGCAATTTGAACACTATTCTTTAAAAGTGTTTTTGTCATCATTACGTATAGCAGTTCTCAAACTAACCAAGGCTCCTGTACTTCTTGAAAACATCTATGTGACTGGCGTACGGCCTGTAATATATATGTTACTGGCAAAGTATGAAATCCGGCATTCTGAAAAGTACCTAGGCTTTTCATAGAATGTCGGATACTGGCCAGCAATGTGTGAAACGATTGAACATTTCACACACTGCCTAGGCATTCTATAGAATGCTAAATAACAAACCGGGAAATGTAGTATGAAATACGTTTCCGATTCGTTTTCGAGTAACCGAAACCAGTTACCAGAAGTTACAGAATACTGAAAGAAATTTCACTCAAATGCGAAACCTTTATACGAAATGATATTGAACTGAACATCCACCTTTGTGAGCTCTACCAGGAAAGACAAAAAGGTATTAAAAACGATATTTTGGGGAAACTACTATTTTTTTTCTGAATTTAATTCCCTTTATGAGGTAGATCTTCTTGGTTGTTGAATTTGTATTCCAGTCTTAGCCAGATATTCAATATGGTGCAACAAGATCATCTCATTAATTTTTTAAAGTTTTTTGTTGGCAGGCTTTCATTATTTTTTCAAAATAACATTCTCATTTTTCATGAATGAATCTCTTTTAAATAATAGCCACCTTTTCCACACTTTGCCTCTATCTTTCCTAATAATGCCAGAGCAACATAAAGTAGCAAAACATTTTGATAAGGTAAAAAGCGTTAACTGGTAATCCAAGATGTCGTCAAAAAAATAGTTAAGTGGCAACCGAGGTTACTTGTGGATCATTTCATTCCTTCTCCGCACACTTTCGCACATTGTGGCTGTAGATTATGACCATTCTGCGGGTATTTAAGCTTTTTAGCATAGCGGTGGACCATATACTAGAATTATTTTAGTCTTTAGTGAAATTTTTGACTTAACTTTCTAAACGCATACAACATTATGTGGCTCGGCACTAGGATTGTGTGCTTTAGAATTCCACAGTAAATATTGGCGACAGGCTATCGATGCCAAAATTTCCGCCAACGATCAATGGGATAATACGTAAATTCCTATGGCTTGTTTAAAGGAATAATACGCTTCTTTTTATTTCCATTTTCCTATTTTGGTGCTGAGATTATGCGAGATGCAGAGTTTGTGCAAATCTTCTTTTTAGTCCAAAGGGACAATTTGCCCAGAAGGACTATTAATTTCGTTTTGGCGTTTTGCGTTGATTCACTATAAATATCAGTTCACTTTTCAAGTGGTTGCCGCCAAATATTAGAGCCCTGTATTATATTTAAAGAAATTAAATAATGAAGAAGCTGCATAAATGTATTCATGTTTCTCTGATTGTGATGAAACAAAGGTACCATCCAATTTTGAATAGCATACGTTTCCACCCAAATATGGGAATCTGGAAGCTCAAATTTCAAATTTGTTTTATTATATCTATTTCCTATTTTGTAAAACTTTAACGTATTTTTGATTAACAAACTGAAGGATTTCAAAGCGAGCAATGGCAACACTGTACGGGGGAAAAAAACTAAACATGCTTATCTTCAACGCGCGAGACTGTGTATCGGAAATTCTAATGATATGCTCATTTTAAAATTATTTTGCAATATTGCTGTTGAACTGAATTTTATGGTTTAAGTGCGAAGAACATGATATTTTATAAATAAGGGTAACACACAAAACGTTAAAAAGATGCCCCTTTGAGCGTAATGTATAATCTGAAAGCTTTCAGATTTTTTCTAAAGAGAAAATAAAACAGATTGCTGTATACTTGGACGGAAAAAAGCACAAAATAACTATGCGTGTGAGTGTCTTATATGAAAAAAAAATAATGTAAAAAGAAATGTACATAGATATTAACGCAACCACCTCAACCGCCTGTCTACCAAATGCATCTCCTCGTTGTTTCCTTTACAGATTTTATCGCAAAATTTTATATTCCTGCAAAAATTTTACCGCAGTGTCTTTCATTGCTGGCGAACTCTAGAAGCCCATATTTTGAACTTCAGTCTAAGGCAAAACTATTACGTTTATATACAACTTGGAATACAACAAAAAGACCGTATACAAAAGCAGCAACGTTGCTTGACTGAAGAACTGTTATGTTTGCCTGAAGAATGATAATGCGCTTGGTGGCCATAGTCTGGCATTTTCTGAAAATTTGGCAACTTGGGTGGCTGCGATAACATGCAAGTACCAAAACAAAAGCGCTAATGAATGCATCAGACGTGAAGATATCCGAAAAACGTTTCATTCCATGGCCGTCAACGAGTTAGCGAACTTTCCATGGGGATGCTGATAACAACAAAGTAACGAATTTTGGGTCTGATCTCTGCCAACTTACATAGTTTGATTGTAGCAAACTTTTACGGTCTGCAAAATAATATTTAAGCACCCCTTATGCGTTAAATTTTGCATTCGGAAATTGGATACAGGAGTAGAAAAGGAATAAGAATTACGTTATTGATAATAAGCTATAATAGCGTACTTTACCTTTTAAAAACTTAGTGATTATAATTCCGCAATTTAACGACTTTGTGATCAGAAACTAGCAACTTTTGATCTCTCGTGTTGCATTTCTAGAAGAGTTATTACACACACAAGCAAAGGGTGTGCACGGTACAGCTTAGAACAAGTTGAAAACCAATGAGCTGCTGCTATGATGCTGATTATACATGCGACTATAATATTTACATCGCATTAATTTAATAGTGTACAAAGAGATTAATTTAATAAGTATTAGAATATTCACTAAAATCCCATTAAATACAAAATTAATAACAGAAAAAATAATAAAATTCGTAAAGCAACGATTTGCTTACTACTAGCAAAGGATTTATCAAACCCCCTCTATTGAAAAATAGTGAAAGTATTGTTTCCATTTTTTTTTTTTCATAAAAACGCTTGGTTATTTTGTGAAGCTGAATACTGATCATACACTGATTCTCAGCTACTAATCTTCATCGAAAAATGTATCGTACTTTTATATAAAATCATATCTATCATAGCAGTTCTTTAATCAGTCTACGTCACCATTTTTGGGCGCGTTTGTGTACTTCAACTATTCTTTGTGTACTTCAACATGACCATGCCGGTACAATGGCGAGGTTATGCGCGATGCAGAGATTGATAAATTCTCCAATATTTTTTAGTGAAAACAAATCGATGTGATTCCATGTATACAGTGAAACCTTATTTAATAATTAAAATTGACGTTTTGAATTCCCAAGTATGTTTCCTTTGGATATGTTAATAACGTTTTTCGACTTTAAATAAATATCGATAGTTTGGCAATCTTTTAAAAGAAATTCGCTACAATCTTACATATTCATTCGATACACAATTTTATCAAACTAAAAAATAGCTTACATAATCACAATTTTTCTTCTCTAAAAAATCGCCAGATTGCGTCAAGATGGTAGCGTAAACATTTAAGTGCTAAATTTATTATTACGAGAGGAAAATGTTCCTTTATTTTCACATAATAAATTTACATAGACTCTTTTGGTTTAGGTCACTTATTAAATTATCTTTTATCTAATTTCTTAGATAAGTCGGGGAAAAGAAACTTGCAGAGTTTCAACTCAACTCACACAACCATCTTTCCCGATCTCACTGCAGTTAACAAGACTGGAATGCCAATGACGAACAGTTCTGACAACAGCACTCAGAGTGGAAAGAGCTTACTTTACAAGCATAGTGTGCCTATTAAAAAGCGTTTGATACCAGAATTCCCGATGCCTGAGAGGAATGTGGTATATAAGTTAATTGTGGAGCATCCCTCATTTGGGGGTCGAGAGAAGCGATTGGATAGTTCAGTGCCAATTTCGCGGCAGCGTAAGGATAGCGATGAAACCGACCAAGTTATGATGAAGAAGGTATTCGATTTGTTGCTGTCAGGCATGTGAAGCGGACTGAAATCTTGTTCAAATTCCCATCTAAATTTTTATGTTATTTCATTGAAGTAATGAGCATTTTAAAAATAACTGTTTAGCTTACTCTACAAAATTCTAAAGCATTTGTTACTGTCAGCATTTATCATGGTTACCATTTATAGTTATAGCATTATCGCCAATGTCAAACATAGAGGATGAAATAAAAATTACCTATAAAAAGAATGTTTTTGTATCAAGTTGTATAATATTATGCTCTAAGATCTTCTTTTGTGTGTTCATTAGTAAAATGTAACAAACATTTTATGAAATACTTTTAATGCAGATAACAGTGTACAGCACCTGTGGTCTTTGGAACAATCCCTTGTCCAAATCTTGCCAAAATTGAGCCATTGTAAACTCAAGAAGTTTTTGGTGCTTATAAATCTGCAATTGAGGCAGAGAATAGCTTCGAACCAATTATCTTGGCGCTTATATTCGCGTTATATAAATTAAGCGGTTTAGATCTAGGACCCCAAATGTCCACAAGCATACTAACCCTGAACAAGAAATTCAGTTATAGCTAAAGCTGCCAGTATTCCAAAAAAAATAATTATTTACCTTCTTATTTATTAAAAAATCTGATATGGACATCACATGGCTCCCTTGTACGGCCTATTATATTATACACATTTTTCCTGCATTTCATTTAAACTTATTTCTATGAATTTCGTTAGAGATATACATTGAAGTGACAAAAGTCATGGGATAGCAATATGCAAATATACAGATGGCAGTAGTAACGCGTAGAAAATGTATAAAGAGAAGTTCTTTGACAGGCTTTCATTTGTTCAAGGTTATTCATGTGAAGAGGCTTTGACGTGTTATGGCCGCCGACGAGAATTAACACTTTGAACGCGGAATGGAGTTGGAGCTAGACGCATGGGTCATTCCATTTCGGATATCGTTAGGGAATTCAACATTCCACATCCACGTGTTCAAGAGTGTGCCGAGATCTAATTTCAGGCATAACATCCCACCATGGACAGCGCAGTGGCCGACCACCTACACTTACGACCGAGACCAGCGACGTCTGCGTAGAGTTTCAATGTTCACAGACAAGCAACACTGCGTCAAATACCGCAGAATCAAGTGGGACGTACGAGGGACGGTGTCCGATAGGACAGTGCGGCGAAATTTGTCTTCCTTGGGCTATGCCAGCAGAAGCCGACTCGAGTGCTTTACTGACAGCACGACATCGCCTCCAGCGACTCTCGTGGGTCTCGTGAGCATATCGGTTGTCCCTAAACGAATGGAAACCGGGCTTGATCAGATGATCACGATTCAGTTGGTAAGAGCTGATGGTAGGTTCGAGTGTGGCGCAGACCCCACGAAGCCATGGATCCAATTGGTCAACAAGGCACTGTTCAAGCTGGTGGTGTTCTATAATGGTCTGAGCTGTTTTACATGCATGGACTCGGTCCTCTGGTGCACTGAACCGATCGTTGACTGGAAATGGATACCTTCAGCTACTTGGAGATCACTTACAGCCATTGATGGACTTCACGTACTCAAACAACGATGGGATTTTTATGGATGAAATGCGCCATTTCACCGGGCCACAATTGTTCGGATTGGTTAGAAGAACATTCTGGACATTCCAGCGAATGATGCTGGCCCCTAGATCGCCCGACATGAATTCCATCGAACATTTATGGGACATCATCGAGAGGTCAATTCGTGCTCAAAACCCTGCACCGTCAACACTCACAATTATGGACGTCTATAGAGGCAGTATGGCTCAATATTCCTGCAGGGGACTTCCAACGACTTGTTAAGTCCATACCACGTCGAGTTACTGCACTTCGCCGGGCAAAAGGAGGACCGACAAAATATTAGGAGGTATCCCATGACTTTTGTCACTTCAGTGTATTTCGCATTCAGTCAATTCAGTTTTCACTTCTAGGCAAGGCAAAAATACATAAAAATTCAAAACATCTTGCTTTAAAACTGTAAAATACAGAAAACGTAAAAACAAGCAATTCGACCTCAGGGCAGGAAGACAAAGTTTTCGGTGCACAAAATTGAAAGTTTACTTTTGCTCCCACTCAGCAAAAAGACATTGAAGTTGGTGCAGGAACTTATTTAATCCGCTATTCTACTAACTAAGAGTTTCAAATGTAAACAAATAGCGCCTTCGTTGGGCTAGGTAACACTTAAAAAAAATTTTAATTTTTGATAATTCTACAACTATTGCATATAGATTAACTAAAAGTATAAAAAGCTCAACCAGAGTATAAGAACAACATAATCAATCACTTTTAAAGCAAAAAATGCACAATTTATCAACATATAAGAATCAAAAACTGAGCTAACAGACCCGGTAACACATTGGGTTATGTTTTTAAATCAATAGAGGTCTAGAAAGTACTCATTTATGATACTAATTATAACACTGACTAAACAAATTTTTTCTTATAATCTTTAATGGTTTTAATTGAATTTTTGTTCCTGGAGATGGTATATAGAGGTTTTCTAATTATATATACATATTTATTTATCTACTTTTGGTTCGGCCTACTGCAACCAAAAAGGGAGATGCACAAGTACATGTTATAGCAGTCCCATATACAAAAGTTCACCGTTCGGAGGCTACTCCTTTTTGACTTATGCGAGATACATACATACGTACGAACACACGTCACCAAAAAAATCTCTTCGGAATCCATTTTACGATCCGTTTTGGGAAAGAGTCATTTTTTCTCTCCGTACTCAGAAATATCACTCAAAAACATCGTTCAAATGGATTAGAAGGTGGTCAAAATGGATATTTTCGTCGAAATATGATATCCGAATTTTTTTGCTATTACTATCCTTCCTTTACTTCGCAGAAGGAGGTAAAAAGAAATAACCTGGAACAGAACTTCAGTGATCATATTTTCACTAGAATATTTTTGGTTCTTCTGTTTATGTCGTTGCATTCTGAGCTATTGAAAAAAGGATTATAACCTCGACACCAGTTGACATTACCAAAAATATTACAAATTAGTAAAAGAAAAAGAAATGAAATAACTGAAATATATTTCTGTGTTTATCATTTTAAATACAATTGTTTCATAAGAATAAATAGCAAAGTTATATTAAATTTAATTTAAATAATTATCTTGCGCCATTGCTGCAAGAAATGAAATTTGAATTTAACTAACATTCTCTATTCGTATAAAGTCAATTAAAATTTAAATTTTAAATTATGATATTTTAATTGCATACAAGTAAATGACAATATCATTTAAATTCTGAGAGCATATGTAAATTAATTGCAAGTGTCTAAAGCAATGAATAAATAAATATATAACATTCCAAAAAATTAACCCTAAAAAATTTTTAAAAAAAATTTTCTTACACTAAATTAATTTGCATATATAGTTTATTTTTTAATTACATGCATAATTCGTGTCAGAGAAGTTTTCAAATAGGCAAAGGTTTCTAAATTACTTTGGTTTTTCTAGAAAACTTTCATTTTCTACCCTTTTTACATTGGCAATTTACATTTAGTTATTATTTTGATTCTTAGTCAATATGCTTTCTAAATTTCTCAAAATTCCTTTTGTTTAAATTTTTTAGTAATTCACTGTATTTGCTTTACTTTTGGTTTTGAATATTACTATATCCATCCCTATAAGGATGACGGAACACTAATTGAGTGATTGAAGGTTTGGAAGCAACTTACCCTTGGTAAGATCAGTCTCTTGCCTGCTCAATAATTATTCACTACTGCAAATTAATTTAGTGTTAGAAATTAAAAAAAAAAAAAAAAAAAAAAAAAAAATAGGATGAATTTTTTAGAATGTTATATATTTATTCATGGTTTTAGATACGTGCACTTAATTTACATATGCTCTCAGAATTTAAATGATATTGTAAATTAGTTCGCAGCAATAATCATTTATTTGAATTTTAATTAACTTTAAATTTGCTTTATACGAATAGAGAATATTTGTTAAATTCATTTTAAATACATATATTTAACAAGAAACAACTATCAAATTGTGGACTCTACTACTCTAGTTAAAGACGCTAGCCCGCAAGATTCCAAAATACAGAATACAGATTTCTTTCTTTTCTTTTCTTTTCTTTTTCCCCCCTTTTTTCCCCTTCTTTCTGTGTGTGTGTTAGAAAAAAAATGCGAAAATCTGCTTTATTTTCATGCAACTAGCCTTATGCCTTTTCTGAATAAATTACTTTCAATTAGGGATACCTATTTTCTCTAACTAAAAGAGAAAAGTGGTTAAGGAACTATTTTTTTTTTTCACTTTTAGTAACATAACTATAAAAATTATCTGGAACTTTAAAACTCTCAAAGTCATATTTTCACTACATAGTTTCAGGTATTAAAGTAATGTGGCTGAACTCATTGCAGGGTCAGTCAAAAAATTCATCAGGTTGAATTAGCTATTTTGAACCTAAAAAGAAAACTTGTACAGGAACCCATATTTTGTAGTTTTTGCATTTATCAATTACGGTTACTCTAGCGCTCAAAGACTATCTGATTTAGGAGGAAAGATGCCTCCGTCAAGAACTTTCTAAGATAGTATTAAAATCAAGTGAGAGAATTTTAAGAAAATTTTGTGGCAAATCCTAATATATATATATGTATCCCCTGTGCATCATATTTTAGATGAGGCATGGAATTAATTGGCAGAAACAACAACAAATAAAGAAATCGTTGATACTACTAGCAACAAATATATATTTCTGATCACATAGTTGAAGTAAATAAATTATTTATAACTAAAGAAAATAATGCAACTGATGCTTACTTACTTACTAATTAAATCTTTTTTTTAACCGAAATCAAACTAATCTTAAAATTTATATTCTTAAATCTTATATTTATTTTAGTTAAATTTCATTTAGTACAATAGCTGTCCTGTAGATGGCAGCACTACTTTCAAAATAATTTCATTTAGTAATATGCTGCCATCTGTGACATTAGTTGTTCTGCTTCCAATCAGTACTTCATGTTTAAATAACATTGAATGCTACAAGTTACGTTAATTCATGTGTTAGCTGCTATTTATAACCGATCTAATGACGAGTAAACTTTTGTACATAAATTTCCATATGCAATTTTATTTTTTTGTTACTCGCCTCAATAAGAATAAATCGAAATTTGCCTTCTAATTGGTTATCAGAGCATAATATATTAGAAAATTTTACAGAATATGGTATATACA